CGCCAAGGACGCCTTCACAACGTGGTATCTTCCTCTTCCTTCGTCCTTCCCCCTCCCCTTCCTCCCACTCTCCCTCGTTCTTCCCCTCCTCCTCTTGCAGGGCCCGCGCCAATTCCAATGGCGGGCAGAGAGATGTACGCCCCCGAAGGATTGTCCGCCCGTTCCGGTTTGCCCGTACGTCTAAGCCCGCCGGCCCCAGCAAAGAGAAATAATCCCCCCGAAAGGGGTGTGATCGAAGACGAAGAGGGCGGGTATCGAGGGTGTAGGGTATACGTGTTGAATGACTCGCGGGCAAGTAAGAGCGTACAGCCTTAAAATGGTTGTTGAACATTATTTCTTCTAAAGAATAATTATTGTTGGGACCCCTGGTGCGCGACCCCTGCGCCGCCTAGGCCGCAGCTACATTTTCATCATTTTTTGCGAAAGCTTCAGAAAAGTGTGATTACCGGATCCGGTTTTTTGTTGACGCTCGTTTTCCCTTGCAAAAAACACTATAAAATGAAAATTCTTGTTCTTAGTTGATCAAATTTCAAGAATCCCTTGCAAAAAATAAGGTAAAGTGGACATTCGTGCGCGCAAGACGAAATCCTTCCAAAACCTTAGGTTTCGTAGCGATTTTAACATAAAAACATCAAAAACCCAATGGTTTTTTAAGAAAAAATTGTCAAAATGTCCTTCCGCGCGCGCTGTCCGAATCCCACAAAACCAATGGTTTTTCAACATTTATGTTACATGAGCTCGCGCGAGCTACTTTTTCTTGTTCTAACATAATCAAATTTCAATAATCCCTTGCAAAAAATAAGGTAAAGTGGACATTCGCGCGCGCAAGACGAAATCCTTCCAGAACCTTAGGTTTCGTAACGATTTCAACATAAAAACATCAAAAACCCAATGGTTTTTCAAAAAAAAATGTCCAAATTTCATCCCGCGCGCGCTGTCCGACTCCCACAAAACCAATGGTTTTCCAACATTTATGTTACATGAGCTCGCGCGACCTACTTTTTTTTGTTCTAACATAATCAATATTCCCTTGCAAAAAAAAGTAAAGTGGACATTCGCGCGCGCAAGACCAACAAAAAACACGACGATCTCAGGAACTTGCCCCAAAAATGTGACCAACTCCGCTCTCTCTGTCTCTCTCTCTGTCTGCTCTCTGTCTCTCTCTCTGTCTGTCTGTGTCATGTATTGTATGTCACAATTGCAGGATGCTGGGCACACGCGCGCCCCGAATAAGTGACCAAGTTCTGTGGGTGTGTACCCCACGCCAGTGTAGTAGCCACGGTCGTCCGCACGCCACGAAGTGAAGTGTCCCAACGTCATAGGGCGGGAAGCTGGGTTTGGGTGGTCGCGAAGAGTCGTTTGGATATTTGGTAGAGCTTGAACTGCCCCCCCACGAAGTGGGGGTATTGCCTGCGTCGTATGAAAACCCTGGCACTGGTGAGAACACTGAGCGTTCGGGTAAAATGATGTTGTTGTTTTGTTGTTGTTGTTGTTGTTGTTGAACACTATTACTTCTAAAGAATTATTATTGTTGGACCCCCTGGTGCACGCCCCCCGCCCAAAACCTAGGCCGCAGCTACATTTTCATCATTTTTCTGCGAAAGCTTCAGAAAAGTGGATTACCCCCGGATCCGGTTTTTTGTTGACGCTCGTTTTCCCTTGCAAAAAACAATAGAAAATGAAAATTCTTGTTCTTAGTTGATCAAATTTCAAGAATCCCTTGCAAAAAATAAGGTAAAGTGGACATTCGCGCTCGCAAGACGAAATCCTTCCAAAACCTTAGGTTTCGTAACGATTTTAACATAAAAACATCAAAAACCCAATGGTTTTTTTAAGAAAAAATTGTCAAAATGTCCTTCCGCGCGCTCTTGCGGATTCATAGGAAACACACCACTTTTTAAACATTTCTGTCAAAAGGGTCTTTGCGTGCTACTTCTTCAGGTGCTTTGAACTTCTCCAACAACGGTTGCGCGCCTGCGAGGGCCACCATCCCTTGCAAAAAATGAGACGAAGTGCACATGCGCGCGGCCGCCGCGCGCGCATGTCGAAATCCTGCCAAACACAATGGGTTTTCAATAATTTCAAGATGCGATGTTCAGAAAACATATGAAAACGCACTACTTTCTCATCCGAAAAATCTCGAAATCCATTCGCGGTCTCTTGATGAATCTTTAAAACCCAAGATGGCCCCAACAGGCGCGCAAGATGGCCCCAAGAGGCGTCCATGAGGCCCAAAGAGGCGCCCAAGATGGTCCCAAGAGGCTTCAAGAGGACTCCAAGAGGCCCCCAAGAGGTTCCAGAGAGGCTCCAAGGTGGCTCCAAGAGACCCCCAAGATGGCCCCAGGAGGCGTTCTAGAGGCCCCAAGAGTCCGCCGTGAGGGTCCAATAAGCCCCCAAGAGGCCCCAAGATGGTTCCAAGGAGCCCCCCAAAGGCTCTCAAGTGGACCCCAAACCGCGCCAGGAGGCTTCCCCCCTTCCCCAAGAGGACCCCAAGCGGCCCCAGGAAGGCCCCCGACTGCTGACGCACATATCCGTAGCCATCTCGGATCAAGGTATCGCCTGTGTTCTTGGATCATGGCTTTGACGGCGAAAGACCTTCACGAGCAGTATGGCCCTGAGCTGTCGCGGCCTCCCTTGGCCGACTGCGAGAGTGCGTATTATTTGCATCAGGCGCTCCGGGCAAAGGGTATCAATGCTAGTCACCAGGCGTGCAAGACTTGGTGGGCCAAGTATCGGGTTGTGACTGGCACGGTCAGTATTTCTAGCGCCAAGGAGCTGGAGGAGCAGCACGGCGATCGTTTACAACATGGTGGACCGTGCGTATGTCACGAACCTTGTATACATGTGTTTCTCTCCCTCCGTCTGGCTGTGCACGCGCGCGTTGGGCACTGAGAGTTAGGATCATAGCGCCATGAGTCTATGAGCAATGCATGCGTCATCCTTGGGACTGTATAACATCAGTGTAACACATGTACTTCTGTAATCGCATCCCCACGAATTTGCCCCAAAAATGTGACCAACTATCTTGGCACTGCGTACCATCTCACGTGTACCGTGTACCACATCATATGTAACAGATGTGATCAACCTCTGTGGGTGTGTACCCCACGCCAGTGTAGTAGCCAGGGTCGTCCGCACGCCACGAAGTGAAGTGTCCCAACGTCATAGGGCGGGAAGCTGGGTGTGGGTGGTCTCGAAGAGTCGTTTGGATATTTGGTAGAGCTTGAACGGCCCCCCCACGAAGTGGGGGTATTGGCTGGTGTCGCAAGAAAACCCTGGCACTGGGGAGAACACTGAGCGTTCGGGTAAAATGATTGTTGTTGTTGTTGTTGTTGTTGTTGTTGTTGTTGTTGTTGTTGTTGTTGTTGTTGTTGTTGTTGTTTGTCAAAACATTGCTCTCGCTGGAGCGCTGGCCTCATTTTCGGGCTACCGCTCGTTCCGAAAGGTGCTCCCGCTGCAGCGCTGGCCTCATTTCCGCGCTTCCGCTTGTTCCGATTTGTGCTCCCGCTGCAGCGCTGGCGTCATTATGGGGCGTCGCCACGCCATGCTATGTCAGGCTACGCGTCCTCCGAATCGTGCTCCCGCCGCAGCGCTGGCCTAATTTTCGCGCTTCCGCTCGTTCCGACTTGTGCTGCCGCTGCAGCGCTGGCGTCATTATTTCCAGCACCATGCCACGGCGTGGTTTTCGGTCCTTCCGAATCGGCCCCAAAATCTTGAGAAAATGCCCCCTCCCCCCCTCCGAAACAACCATCGGAAGTGATGACACATTCGGTGTCGATTCGTTGATTTGTTGGACCGCAGAAGCCCCCTCCCACTTTGGGGCGTCGCGACGCCATGCTATGTCAGGATGCGCGTTGATCTTCAACACCATGCTATGCCATGTAATGCCATGCTCTGCTACGACACCAGACTGCGAATAGAGAGGTGATCTACGCCATGGGAAGGGATGGGAGGGAGGGTTAGGACGTCAGAGATGACGCGAGCGCACCTAGCTTGTCCCCCTCCCCCTCCCTCTCCCCCTCCCCTCCCCCCGTTTCCCTACAATCCTTTCCGGATAAGTTTGTGATGGCCCCAGATCGGTTTGTGGTGGCCCCGCGGCCTATGCCACGGATAGGATGTGACGTCGGAGGAGACTGGTGGTGCTCCGCGGCCAGCCTTCGTCCGGCCAGCTGTGCTGCCGGCGCTGACCAGGACAGAGCTCCATATCGGGCCTCGCCCTGTCCAGGGCGGCCCCGTCCAGCCACGGTGCGGCGCGCGGACTGGCAAAATAACGAAGCTTGGTACGGCACTGGCTGGAACGGGTGCGCAGTGGTCGGGGGCGGCAAAGAGTGGGGTGATGACTAGGGGGGCGGTGGATAGCAAGGCGTGGGCCATGATATTTTTTTCCAGAATTCATGGCGCCTCTTCTTATTTCCTTACGTCCCTGGCCCCCCCCCCCCCGGGCCGCGCACATGCCGCCGGCCATGATTTGCACCCCCCCTCTTGGAGGCCCCCCTCTTGGCCGCCCCTGAAGTGGAACAGAAAGCCAGAGATTTGCAGAGGTGATTTTGGCCCGGGGTGCGGCGAGCCCAGGGGGAAGTGGGAGGGGGCAGGCCTCCTCAGAAGGCGGTGGGGCTTCAAGCAGACTCCCTCCAGCCGTCTGAGAAGCCGCTTCTTTTCTCGGAGGAGGTTTAGAGCACTTCTTGATGAGCCTGTTTTCCATCACCACCACCATAAGTTGGAGGGGGGAAGGAGGAGGAGGAGGAGGAGGAGGAGGAGGAGGAGGAGGAGGAGGAGGAGGAGGAGGAGGAGGAGGAGGAGGAGGAGGACCCCACCCCCCCAACTTATGGTGGTGGTGGTGGAAAACACGCCCATCACTTCTCAGAAGACCCGAGGCCTTCCGAGCCTTCTGAGAAGGCCCGCCCCCTCTGCACTCCCCCCCCTCCCCCCCCGGGGCTCGCCGCCGAGCGAGGGCGTGCCCGGCCAGTCCGCGGCGCCTGCCGCGCGGCCGCCCGCGGGAGGCATCCGCAGCGCGTCACGCTGCTGCGGGGCAACCACGAGAGCAGGCAGCCGTCCGCGCTTCCTCCCTGGGAGGAAGGGCATGCGTGGATGACGGCGTGTGGAGCAGCGATGGCTCCCGGTTCAGAAGTGGGGCGAGACGCCGTGGGGCGGCCTTCCGAGCCTTCTGAGAAGGCCCGCCCCCTCTGCACTCCCCCCCCTCCCCCCCCGGGGCTCGCCGCCGAGCGAGGGCGTGCCCGGCCAGTCCGCGGCGCCTGCCGCGCGGCCGCCCGCGGGAGGCATCCGCAGCGCGTCACGCTGCTGCGGGGCAACCACGAGAGCAGGCAGCCGTCCGCGCTTCCTCCCTGGGAGGAAGGGCATGCGTGGATGACGGCGTGTGGAGCAGCGATGGCTCCCGGTTCAGAAGTGGGGCGAGACGCCAAGTGGGGCGGCTCTGGCCCGCCCACGCCCCAGAGCCACGGCTCCGTAGTCCATGATGGCGTGCGCCCGACGTCCACAGCTCAGCACTGCTTCGCTCCCTTCATGCATGGAGTCGTTCCTGTAGGCAGTCTTGGCTTGCACACGCGCAAGTACGCTTGCACGAGTGCGCGTGCGCACGTGCATATCTCATTGACTGATTGGGACAGATGGTTGATACAGGCAGGGCAATGCATCACAATGTAAGGTCATGCAATGAATTCCAATACACGAGCGCCTTAATTCACTGCGTTGTGCAGTTAAGACGGGCAACGCACACCGACGCAGTGGTTCGAACATGTACTTTGTTTTAGTGTTACATGTTTTCTGATTGTTTCTTTCGTTTTGAGGATCTCAGTGCAGTGGAACAGCATGCAGGCCGATGCCAATTGAACGCATGCAGCGTAGTGTTGTGCAAGGTTTTGCGGTGTGCTGCAGCGATGTATGGTCACACAGTGTTGTCAATTGTAAAGTGCTGCCAGCCAGTGCACGTAACGCAGCACGCCGTCACGCAATTCGGTTGGGCACCAGTGAGTCAATATTGATGCCGAGTGGCATACTTAGACGAGGAAGACCATGTAGTGCCCAATGCAACTATCATTAAACAGTGAATGTTTTTTGGGGCCCGCATTGAGCTCATTGTTCGTTTCTGGAGAATCCGATACAATTGTTTTCTGGGAGATTTTCGCCACGGTCTGGTACTGGCGCCAGCCGAAACATAGGAGGGGGCGATCGACGAAGTAACCAGTCTTCGGACCGAACGGTGCTCGTGTGTGACCACCAGACGTGCATATATCCAACAACATGAAGATATCCGTGGTGGTGAGGCGATCGTATAAAGAGTCTGTTTGCATTCAGCACGTTGGACTGGACGATATTGTGGTGCCATGTTTCGAACAGTGCCGATAAGAGTTCAAGGAAGCACGTCTGGCGATATTCAGCGTTTTACCAGTGTCATGACCACTGCGGTCGTAGGTGTAGCGCTGGTGGTCGCAACAGCAGTGACACGCATGACTTCAGTGGCTAGTTTGCCCTACGATCGTAGCGATGTCGTTCATGACGGTAGTAAAGGTAGCGGCAGTGTGAATTGCAGTCAGGATAGCAGTGGTCCTTCGAGGATGGAACAACAGGCCGCGATAATCCGTAGTATGCAACTGACGTCGATCATATAAGTTCTGAGTCTGCTAAATCGGTAAATCCAGGGCGGTGTTCCTCCGATTGGAGAAGAGTGTCCGTTTTACGCGTTCGTGCTTTCATGATTCAGTTGCGTGGGTTTTTGCAATATCAGCTGCTTCCACTCGCAGGCAGATCACGCAGGTGTACGGCTTTTACTCGGAGTGTTTGCGCAAGTTCGGTGCGACCACCGTCTGGCAGGCGCGAGGGACTGGAGTTATTACCAGGAAGCTCGATACACATGACACGGTCGGCCTGGGCCAGAGTTGTATACACATGTGGCCACATGTTTTTCCAGCGTGTGGCCCTTCAATGGCCGGGTACGCTGGCTCTCAGCATGTGTATCCAACGCACGGCTTCCGCATGTTCCACATGAAAATCCATCCATGTGAGTTTCCAGCTTCCTGGTTGCGAAGGAGGTTTATGTTGCACATCGATTTTCTTTTGCATCCTCAGGCCTCTGGCGCTGCTGTTTTTCCCGTGCCGCCGATCGCTTTCCGTAGAGCCCAGGGCCCGAAACGGTCTTCCAGTGGCCCTGCTTACAAACACGCTGGTCCTCATTGGAAAGGCCTTGCGGACGGTTCCGCCGACCCTGAAAAGAGATAAGCAACAGCGCATGAGGCGGGAGGTGGTAGCAGAGTAGGAGGCCTCTCAAGGGGCTCTTGGCGCCTCATGGGGGCTTCTCGGGATCCGTTTAGGGGGATTCTCGGCGGTCTCGGGGTGGGTGGGGGCCTTTTTGGGGGGCGACCGGGGGCCTGCTGGAGAGTTCGGGGGTCGTCTTGGGGCGGAGGCTTTGAAACGTGAGGTAGCGTTCTTCTCAAGACTTCAGAGATTGCTGGGTCTCTTTCGCATTTTCGTGTCTATCCCGATGGCTTCGCCAACCACAGGCGTAGCAATGCGCAGCCACCCACCACGATGTAGCCTGAGCGAGCTGTCCAGATCTCGGCCGTGCAGGATGGCCAGCTCTTCCAGGGACCTTTTTGTTGTTTGGGATTTTCCTCCTGCTGCTCCTCTTCTTTGAGTTGCACCGACGTCGATCGTAGCGGTCGCTGCGCCTGAGCTCGGCAGAAGACTGGTTCAACAGGCGACCAGCTCCAGGGACCGGTTCAACAGACGACGGGTTCAACAGACACCGCTTCAACAGACGACCGGTTCAGCAAAATTTGGTTCAACGAAGAACGGTTCAACAGGACCGATTCCGTAGAACCGCTTCCGCGGAACCGGGAATTCCACAGGACCGGTTTCACAGAATTGGTTCCACAGGCCCGGTTCCATAGGACCAGTTCCATCGGCCAGATTCGCAGCATTGGTTCCACAGGACCAGATCGGTCCTCTGGCGCTCCAGACACTCCAGGCACTCTGGGTACTCGCGGTGATCCGGGCCATGCGCTCGAGCCGGGTGCTCTGGCACCCGCCCGCCCGCCCGACTCGACCCGCCCGTTAGGTATTTGCGTGCCAACTCGATGATGCGCAATATTTGAATGTCCCGCCCGCCCGACCCGACCCGTCCCGCCCGTTGGGGTCCGCCCGACCCGTCCCGCCCGTCAGGGTAGTCGCGTGCCAATTCGATAATGCATCATACTTTAATGTCCCGCCCGCCCGAACCGACCCGACCCGCCCGTTGGGGTCCGCCCGCCCGACCTGGCCCGTTCCGCCCGTTGGGGTCCGCTGGATCGCCCAGCCCCTCCCGCCCCTTAGGGTCCTGTTCGCCCGAGCGGACCCGCCCGTCCCGCCCGCCCGCCCGACCTGACCCGCCCGTTAGGGTACTCGCGTGCCAACTCGATGATGCGCAATGCTTAAATGTCCCGCTCGCCCGACCCGACCCTCCCGCTCGTCAGGGTCCGCCCGCCCGCCCCGACCCGTCCCGCCCGTTAGGGTCGAATCCGCCCGACCTGACCTGGCCCGTTAGGATACTCGCATGACATCTCGATTATGCGCAATACGTTAATGTCCCGCCGCCCCCCGACCCGCCCGCCAGTCAGGGTCCGCCCGCCTGACCGACCTGTCCCGCCCGTTACCGCCCGACCGACCCGCCCGTTAGGGTAGTCGCGTGCCATTTCGATGATGCGTCATACTTTAATGTCCCGCCGCCCGACCCGACCCGCCCGCCAGGGTCCGCCCGCCCGCCCCGACCCGTCCCGCCCGTTAGGGTCCCGCCCGACCCGACCTGCCCGTTAGGTTCGCATGCATTCGATATGCATCATACTTAGTGTCCCGCCCGCCCGACCCGACCCGCCCGTTGGGGTCCGCCCGCCGACCCGGCCCGTTCCGCCGTTGGGGTCCGCCCGACCCGTCCCGCCCGTTAGGGTAGTCGCGTGTCAATTCGATAATGCATCATACTTTATGTCCCGCGCGCCCGACCCGACCCGCCTCGTTGGGGTCCGCCCGCCCGACCCGGCCCGTTCCGCCCGTTGGGGTCCGCTGCCCGCCCAGCCCCTCCCGCCCCTTAGGGTCCTGTTCGCCCGAGCGGACTCGCCCGTCCCGCCCGCCCGCCCGACCTGACCCGCCCGTTAGGGTACTCGCGTGCCAACTCGATGATGCGCAATGCTTTAATGTCCCGCCCGCCCGACCCGACCCGTCCCGCCCGTCAGGGTCCGCCCGCCCGCCCCGACCCGTCCCGCCCGTTAGGGTCGAATCCGCCCGACCTGACCTGCCCGTGAGGGTACTCGCATGACAACTCGATTTTGCGCAATACTTTAATGTCCCGCCGCCCGACTCGACCCGCCCGCCAGTCAGGGTCCGCCCGCCTGACCCGACCCGTCCCGCCCGTTAGGGTCCGCCCGACCCGACCCGCCCGTTAGGGTAGTCGCGTGCCATTTCGATGATGCGTCATACTTTAATGTCCCGCCCGCCCGACCCGACCTGCCCGTTACGGTCTGCCCGCCCGACCCGTGCCGTCTTGCTCGTGAGGGTCCGCCCGCCTGCCGGACCCGTCCCGCTCATTAGGGCACTCGCGTGCCAACTCGTTGACGCATCATACTTCAATGTCCTTCCCGCCCGACCCGACCCGACTCGCCCGTTAGGGTCTGCCCGCCCGAACCGACCCGCCCGTTAGGGTCCGCCCGACCCGACCCGCCCCTTAGGGCATTTGCGTGCCAACTCGAGGATGCATCAGACTTTCATGTTCCGCCCGCCCGACCCGAACCGCCCGTTAGGGTCCGCCCGCCCGACCCGATCCGTTAGGGTCCGCCCGACCCGTTACCCCCGATCGTCCCCCCTGTTAGGGTCTGCCCGACCCGCCCCACCCGTCCCGCCCGTTAGGATATTCGCGTCCCACCTCGAATTTGCGTCATACTTTAATGTCCCGCCCGCCCGACCCGACCCGACCCGCTTGTTATGGTCCGCCCGCCCGACCCGACCCGACCCGCCCGTCAGGGTCCGCCCGCCTGACCCGACCCGTCCCGCCCGTCAGGGTCCGCCTTAGGGTACTCGCGTGCCAACTCGATGATGCATCATACTTTAATGTCCCGCCCGCCCGACCCGACTCGACCCGCCCGTTGGGGTCCGCCCGCCCGACTGGACCCGTCCCCGACCCGCCCGTTAGGATATTCGCTTGCCAACTCGATGATGCGCCATACATTAATGTCCTGTCCGCCCGACCGACCCGCCCGTTAGGGTATTCGCGTGCCAGCTCGATGATGTGCAATTTGTTCATGTCCCGCCCGCCCGACCCGACCCCCCCTTTAGGGTCCCGCCCGACCGTCCCCAGCCCCCTGGTAGGGTCCACCCGCCCCAGCGGTCCTTCATCCCTCCTTCCCTTTTATTTCTTCTCATCTCTCATCCCTCCCTCCCTCATCCCTCCAACTCTGGGCTCAGAGATGTCCGCACTTGAGGTGGTTCGATTTCGGTTTGGCCCGCTTGCCCGAGACATCCCTTGTGCTCAGAAGCATTTGCACGGCTTGTCGCAAGTATAGGGTGGTTCTTCCGGGCCGTTTCAGCTGACGATTCTTCTTCCTCCTCCTCCTCCTCCTCCTCCTCTTCCTCCTACTCCATCCGTCTTCTCTCATCCCTCGTACCCCCTACTCCTCGTCATTCCTTATCCCTCATCCTTCCGCCCTCCCTCCCTCATCCCTCCTTCCCTCCTTCCTCATCTATCTCTCCTTCACCCAAATCCTCACCTCCCTCCTTCATCCCAACCTAATCTATCCATCCCTCTCTCCTCCTTCGTCCCTCCCGCCTCCCTCATCCCTCATCCTTCCCTTCCTCCCTCCCTCCCTCATTCCTCCTTCCCTCATCTCTCATCCCTCTCTCATTCCTCCCTCATCCTCCCTCGAGAAGTGGTACTGGGGACGCGGTGTCTGAGGAAATGGTTCCGGGGAGGAGGGTGCACATAAGAAACGGTTCCATGCAGGGAAGAGTGTCCGGGGAAACGGATCTGGGGAAGCGGTTCTGGGGAAACTGCTCCAGGGAAGCGGCTTCGGGGAAACGGTTCTGGGGAAACGATTCCGGGATGATGAAACGATTCCGGGGAAACGGTCTTCCGGGGAAGGTGTCTTTGGGGAAGATGTCTCCGGGGAAACGGCCCTCGAGGGAAACGGTTCGGGGGAAGCGGTTGCGGGGAAAGGGTTCCCGGGGAAACGGTTTTGTATCCTGAGCGCACGTGCGAACGCAAGGGCGCGCGCGTGAGCACAACAGAACGAGCAGAGGTGCGCCACAGAAGCTGCGGGAAGAGGAAGGCGAAGCGCAATGGAAGGGCGGAGTGGCCCGCGAGGGCATGTTCGAATCTTCCTCCTCCTCCTCCTCCTCCCTCCTCCCTCCTCCCTCCTCCCTCCTCCCTCCTCCCTCCCTCCCTCCTCCCTCCCTCCTCCGCGGGCGCTGTCTTCCGCGCCGCGGCGCAATTTTCCCAGACCCTGACTGGGGCCGCACCGCGCGAGGAGGTCTTCTGTCGACGCCCAGGCCTGCCGTGGGACCCCTCGTCGGACGGCGCTTGGACGAGGACACGTCCGTTCCAGAGCGTTCCGGAACGCTCTCAGAGCGTTCCGGAACACTCTGAGAGGGCCGCGACGCCCGATACATTCTCCAGAGCCGCCGGATCCCAGAGATTCTCGATTTACCCTCCCCTAAATTTGTCCTCGTCCTGGCTTCGTCTTGCCTCGGCTGTTTCCCAGGTAGGCTCCCACCGACCCTGTGGGTGCCAGGAAGCCCCGAGGACTCTCCGTCTCCTTCTGCTCCTATTCCCCTGGGGGTCAGGAGGAGGCTGCCTGACTGCATGGGAGCTGAGGTCCGATGGTTTGATCTTTCAAGGAGGGGGTTGGAGGAGGAAGAGGAAGAGGAGGAGGAGGAGGAGGAGGAGGAGGAGGAGGAGGAGGAGGAGGAGGAGGAGGAGGAGGAGTTCCCGACGTCCCGACCCCTCATGGCCCAGCGAGGATTCCCAGGAGGTCGAAAGCAGCGAAGCACCAGAGCTTACCCCCAGCATGCTGGAGGTCTGGTTCCCGGGCTCCACCTCAGGCTTCCACACGCCGTGCGGGACGATTCGGGCAGCGCCGGACCGCTCTCGGCGAGGCGCAGCTGTTCGCAAGCGCCCCACGACCGACGAAAGCCTACCAACACCAATCCCGGTTCTCGAGCCTACGCTGGAGGTTCAATTTTCTCTCTTAGTGTGGCCTCTCTCGGCCCGTGCGGGGGGACAGTACTTCACTGACCTGTTTGACTACCTGCCGATCGCCGCGCGGATCGGGGAGAGCATCCTGGCGGTGCACGGGGGGCTTTCCCCGTCCATCCACCACCTGGACCTCTTCCCGCGAGGGGTTGAATGCGAGGAAAGGACAAGGGGCGAGGAAGTGGTGATGACGATGATGATGATGCTGATGATGATGATGATGTTGATGATGATGATGATGCTGATGATGATGAGGATGATTATGATGGTGACGATGTTGATGATGTTGTTGATGATGATGGTGACGATGATGATGAATCATATGATGATGATGCTGATGACGATGCTGATGATGATGCTGCTGATGATGGTGTTGATGATGCTGCTGCTGCAGATGATGCTGATGATGCTGATGATGCTGATGACGATGCTGATTATGATGATGCTGATGGTGATGATGATGCTGCTGATGATGCTGCTGATGATGATGGTGGTGATGCTGCTGATTATGATGATGATGGTGATGATGATGGTGGTGGTGATGATGATGCTGATGACGATGCTGATGATGATGATGATGTTGATGCTGATGATGATGGTGATGATGATGCTGATGATGACGGTGATGCTGGTGGTGATGATGATGCTGATGATGATGATGTTGATGTTGATGATCATGATGCTGATGATGCTGATGATGAGGACGTTTCTGATTATGATAATGATGTTGATGATGCTGGTTATGCTGATGCTAATGATGACGATGATGCTGGTGATGATGATGCTGATGACGACGATGATCATGCTGATAACGCTGACGACGATGGTGGTGCTGCTGCTGCCGATGATGATGATGATGATGATGATGATGATGATGATGATGATGATGTTGATGATGATGCTGATGACGACGATGATCATGCTGATAACGCTGACGACGATGGTGGTGCTGCTGCTGCCGATGATGTTGATGCTGATGATGATGCTGATGACGATGCTGATTATGATGATGCTGATGGTGATGATGATGCTGCTGATGATGCTGCTGATGATGATGGTGGTGATGCTGCTGATTATGATGATGATGGTGATGATGATGGTGGTGGTGATGATGATGCTGATGACGATGCTGATGATGATGATGATGTTGATGCTGATGATGATGGTGATGATGATGCTGATGATGACGGTGATGCTGGTGGTGATGATGATGCTGATGATGATGATGTTGATGTTGATGATCATGATGCTGATGATGCTGATGATGAGGACGTTTCTGATTATGATAATGATGTTGATGATGCTGGTTATGCTGATGCTAATGATGACGATGATGCTGGTGATGATGATGCTGATGACGACGATGATCATGCTGATAACGCTGACGACGATGGTGGTGCTGCTGCTGCCGATGATGATGATGATGATGATGATGATGATGATGATGATGATGATGATGATGATGCTGATGATGATGATGATGCTGATGACGACGATGATCATGCTGATAACGCTGACGACGATGGTGGTGCTGCTGCTGCCGATGATGATGATGACGATGACGATGATGATGATGATGATGATGATGATGATGATGATGATGATGATGATGATGATGATGATGAGTCTGTTTAGGTTTATACACCTGCCCGTGCGAATGGTGATGGACAAAAAATGTAATGCTAAGACGTGTAATGCTACTTGCGCTAGCAATAATCTCACTACGCGTAAGACAACCATTGAGAATCATACGATTCTTACGAATCCAATTGCGACGAACAGCAAGACGAACAATACTCAGACTAAGAAGAACAATCGTAATACAAATGCTAACACGACTGCGAATAATAATGAGGATAGTATGATTACTAATTGCAGTAACAGGCAATACGTTAATAGTACGACGAATAATACTCATATTCGTATTCGGAAGAATAATACTGATACTAGTACTACAAATGATCTTAATACGAGTAATAGAGTAATAATACGAAGGAAAAATATTAAAACTAATAATAGTACGCATAGTACGAATACTAATAAGAAGAAGGGGAGGGGGATTGTCGAATGGCCTTCGGCCCATGCCTTTTGGGTGCCGTTTTGGAGCCTCTGGGGTCCTATTTTGGGCCTCCTGGGCGCCTCTTGAGGCCTCTTTGGGGCCTCTTGGGGACCTCTTTGGGCTTCTTGGGGGCCTCTCGGGGCCTCCTGGGGGGTTGTTTCTAACATGGAGCTCTCGCATTCGGACCGCGCATATTTTTTCAAAGTATGTACAACAGCTTCAAGGATGGATGGCACTTCTTTTCCGAATTTGGGATCTCACATTCTTGCCGCGCACATTCGTTCCAACGTTTCCATTACGCATACAACAGTTACAGGAGTTGTGGGTGGCTCCCGTTCAAAAAGAAGACTTCGCTTGAAGCTTTGAACCTTCAGATCAGATACTTGAACACATGCAGCAGCTGCACTGACGAGATGCGGTTCCTTTCTAAATTGGGCGTTACTGGGGACTTCTACATCAAAGGACAAGGGATTCGAACACATGGTGCAGCTGCATGGATGGAGGGCTGGCTCTCAAAGTGGGGCTTTCGCTTGAGACTTATTCGATGCTGGTGGCCAGAAGTGGGAACATGTGAAAGAGTTGCATATATGATCCCGGGCTCCGGGCCCACGGGCCCCCCCCCTCCCCCCCCAGATGGTATGGTCCCAGGATTCCTCGGCCCCCCCCCCCAAGATGGTATGGTCCCAGAGACGACGACGACGACGACGACGACGATGACGACGACGACGACGACGACGACGACGACGACGACGACGACGACGACGACGGCGGCGGCGGCGGCGCCGGCGGCGGCGGCGGCGACGCTGACGACGACGACGACGACGACGACTACGACGACGGCGACGACGACGACGACCACGACGACGACGACAAAGGCTGGCTGCGGTGGCGACGACGCCGGCGGCGGCGGCGACGACGACGATGACGACGATGACGACGGCGACGACGACGACGAAGACGACGACGACTACGACGACGACGACGACGACGAGGACGACGAGGACGACGACGACGACGACGACCTCTGAACCACCACAGCACCACACCACATCCACAGGGGGGGGGGAGGGGGGCACCGCAGCGCAGCACCACGCCACGCCCACCTCTGAACCACCACAGCACCACACCACATCCACAGGGGGGGGAGGGGGGCACCGCAGCGCAGCACCACGCCACGCCCACAGGGGGGGCGGGGGGGACCATCGCGCGGGGGGGGGGGAAGCCCAATGGCATCAGCATTGGGGGGGAGGGGGGGGGCCCAAGCCCTGGACCATATATAAGCGCGGCCCTTGTTCAAAACGCGGATCTCGCTGAATATTTCGGTGATGGAAGCGGCCGGGGATGACTTCGTGAAAATCGTGCACCCAGGGCTGGCCAGGAGGCAAGAGATGGGGGCAAACTCGGCATGCAGGGTCCGTCTGCAGAGGGCGGCCCGGAGGGGACTGAGTGAGAAAGCTGGAAGCAGTGAACTCTCCGCCCTTGCTGCTGACCGGAGCCCTCCACGGACTGCTGCAGCAGCTCCCAGCCGGCTCCAAGCCTGGAGAATCAGGCGCCTGCCTGGTCCGTGGAGGAGAGGGCGCGGCCTCAATGAAGAGCTCGCTCTCCAGGGTCTCGTTGATGGAGCAGTGGTGCCTTCAAAACACTCGATGATAGGGCCAGTTCGGGTGTTACTAGAAGTACCCCTGGCCCAAGGTACCCCCAGAATTCTCGGAGAGGCCCAGACGGCCTCCAGGGCACCCCTCACGAGGCCCAGAGGGCCCCAGAAAGCTGGGGGCACCTTGGGCCAGAGGCACTTCTAGCAACACCGACCAGTTGGGTCCTCGGAAGAGGTTCAGTGTTTCTCAGATGCCTCCGCGAGCCTTCTGGCGGCGCTTCTCCTGCATCCTGGGCGCGGGACGTGGCCCGCAAAGGTTGGGTCGGACGAGTGTGGGGGGGAATCGGGAAACGAGGGAGGGGTTCGAAATCTGCTACGCGCAGCTGGTGTCGACCTAAACCGCCTGGCGCTTTCCTCGGCGCCTGCGGCGCTGGGAGGTGGCGAGGAAAGCAGCTAAGTGAGCTGATTTGATAGCCTCTCCCTCACCCCCCCCCCCTTCAAGCCCGACTCGGAAGGGGACCTCACTCTTCATCCAGAGGCTCCCGTTGGAAAGACTCTGGCTGCAGAGCTTGGCAGGCGGAGCGGAATCCCCGAGCTCCACCGAAGGGTCCAGAGGCAACGTCTGCATGCTGCCGCCCCGCCCATTTCGGCACACCCGTCACACGCTTCGGGGCCCAGTATGGAGCGCCACCTGAGGCTCCTCATACGTTTCGGGCTCCCCCAGAGAAACCTGAGGCGGCAGTGTCAAAGTCTGCATGCCGCCGCCCAGCCCACTTCGGCAGACCCCTCACGCTTCGAGGCATCCTGGCCGCACTGCCCTAGGCCCCATCCCTCTCGCGGCGTGCTGCGTATGAATCAGGGGCGGCCAGGTGGGGGGTGATGACTAGGGGGGGTTGGATATCACGGCGGTGGCCATGATATCTCCCCAGATTTCATGGCCCCTCTTCTCAGTGCGTTCCCTGGCCCCCCCCCCTGGTCCGCGTACATGTCTTGGCCGTGATTTGCGAATTACCTCTTGGACGCCCCCCCTGTTGGACGCCCCCGAATGAGGAGAGGGCCTCGTCCTGCGGCTCCCGCAGCTGCCCAGGGCCGCCCTTCGCCGGGCAGGTTTTTGCTGCGCTTTCGAGGTCCGGGCGCCTCTTGCCCCGCCCATGCTTTCGATGTCGCAGTGGCCGTGCTCGCGGTGCCTTCTGCTCGCAAGCTGGGGGCAGAAAAAGGTGCGCGTGACAGTTTATGCTCATGCTGTTGTTTCATTCCTCGATGGAGGGGGTCACCCCGACCTTCTCCACGTGCCATTCTTTGTTGGCCTCCGCGGGGATGCGCCGCGAGGACCAGATCCGGATACTGGACCGTTTCGCGGAGATCCCCCATGACGGGCCGCTGGCGGACCTAATGTGGTCGGACCCAGACCCCGAGAAGACTGGGTTCGTCATATCGCCGAGGGGCGCCCGGCCTCTGCTTCTTTTCTCGGGCCAGGATGCTGACAGGAGGAGTGCGCCGCAGAAGCAACCCTGCTGCTTAGAAGGCGTGGGCCTTGTCTCTAGATGTAGGGTCGGCGCCTTCTAAGAAGCAGCTTCCTTCTCAGAAGATTTTCCCCCCTTCCCCTGTTTTTCTCTGCGGGTCGTTACAACGGGTCCAGCGGTGTGTCGCCGTTCTTGGCTTCCCGGGGCCCTCAACGGACCCCAGGACAGCCAGCAAAAGCCTTAGGATTAAGCGCGGGTCTTCTGGGAAGGCCCCCGGGGTCCAGGCCCGTTTTTTACATGTTCTTTTCAGGAGGGAAGAACACACAGACACAATTAATTCGTCGATTCCCCAGAAAATAGGGAAAACAATGGGAAGTGAGGGGGAAGACGAAAACCCCGAAGAAACATATAGGAAAATATGGGGAGCCCTGGGATTTGGGTCTACTTATTTGTGTGTCCCTGGGCCCCCTCATACTTGCGATCACGAGAGACGGAAGTCGGGACCCCTTCGGGCTCCGAAGGAGCTTAGGTGTCGTGCCGTTCTTCGGAATGGGGAGAGCCTCTGCGTCGCCCAAACCCGCCCTGGCCAGGAACGCGCCTTCGCTCCTGGTTCAGCGTTCCACACGGTGGCGCGACGACTGCACATCGCCGTGGCGAACGTTTTCATCAGTTCTGTTTTCAAGCATTGCGATTCTGCGGAGAAGGCGGAGCAGTCTTTGCTCCGCGTGCAGGCCAGTCCTGTGTGACATGAGCTTCGCAGTTTGGTGCGGAGCAGTTTCGGGCTCCTCTGTTGAATTGAGGTGAAGGCCATGCAGGGACCGAACGTGCTCCGCCGAACACCGCCAGCCGTAAGTCACGTTAGGAATCCTGAGACGGATCGGAGGCTCATCGATCGTGGAAGATGCAGGAAGCCTTTACCGCGGAGGCGCACGTCCGCATGCCCCCCGAGGTTTGATGGGTGGAGATCTGCCCGCCCCCCATGGCGGGGGAGCGAATCTACACATATGCTGGTCTCCAGGGGATCCTGGGCGGGACTCTGGCAGATGTGAATCTGGATATTTCTTGGTGGTCCAAGCCCTGAGATGAGGCGATCGCAAACATGGATTCAGGGGGCGTGGATTAGCGACGGGTCCCGTTTCCATGGGAAATCGCGGATTTCCGCCGCTGAACGAGGCGGCACTGGCCGCATTTTGGGGAGGGCACCTCCCCCGATCCATGGATTAGGCGACCGCGCGCCAAATCCATGGATCGCTAATCCATGTTTGCGCGTCCCCGATGAGATCCGAGGACGCGAGAAAGTTGCGCCGCCGCCACGCGTCACGAATGGGGGCTTTTTCGATCCCACCATTCTGCGGCGCTTCTCGAGCCGCAGCGGTCTGCGAGGGGGTCCCCGCGGCCCGAAGTCCCGAACGCGGCCGGCTGGTAAAACAGGGTGCGACGACAGTCTTTGATGCATCCTCCGATGGGTTCGTTGTGCGCCCGTGGCGCGTTCCACTGCTCGCAAAGTGCCTGCTCGCAAGTGTTTGAAAAGTATGTGTTCGCCTCGATGTAATTCGGCCAAGAAACAAACGACACCACCCCACCTACGGCCCTCCATGTTGCGCTACGGCCCATGGGGTGTCGTAGCGTATACCATTCAAAAACCCACGCCAGACGTCCTGGTACACGCTACGGCCCGTGGGGCCGTAGGTGGGGTGGTGCAGTTTGTTTTCCAGTCCAGTAATGTATCCTAAATCCCCTTTGGCAGACGCAGGCCATTTGCGAGCAGTTGCTTTGCGAGTGGTGGAGCGCGCTTGTCCAGTGGTGCGCCCGCGGCCCCAGAGCTCCCGACCCTGCCCCACTGGTCGGTTTTTTCGTCCCGGATCCGCTCTTGCTAGTCCAGGGGTCAGAGGTTGATAGACTTCCTACCCTGACACGTCGATTAGCGAATTGGCCGTTTTCGGTTCGCGAGAGGGCGTCGCGGCCGTCTTTTTTGCGGGTCCGGGTCCGTCGGTTTTGGTTCTAGGCCGTTCTCACGAAAGGGTGGTTGACTAAAGGGAGGTTTGTCCACCGCCGACGGGGGCCGGTGACGGGCCCCAGAGGCGGAAATAGAAGACACACGCCAGGAGTGAAACAGCATACCATCGGAGGTCTGGGATCTCGGATAGGAGGATCGCGGGCCGAGGTTTCTCCTGGTAAGGGCTCGGGCCCATGGTTCTCTCTTGGTCGGCCTATGGCCCTAGATCGGAGGAGCGGCGATCCCGTGGAGGAGGAATGCGGGCACGCAGAGCACGTGCGCGGAGAGGGGTCATCCAACATGCGTTTTGGCTCGCAGGTGTCAACAAGTGGGGCATCCAACACGTGGGCATTCTCAAGTTGGGCGTTCCTGGTCCTCTCGGGGCCCTCCGGGGGCAAGGGGAGGGGCATTGCCCGCCTCGCTGGGGCCTCCCAGGGGGGTTGGCACCGCCCGCCTCGCCGGGGCCTCTGGCGGGGAGGAGCGTCTGGGGGCTGGCCTCTGGGGGCCTCTGGGGACCTCCAGAGAGCTTTGGCGTCCAGGATGCTGCTGCTGCTGGTGCTGATGATGCTGCTGCTGATGATGATGACGATGCTGCTGCTGCTGCTGATGATGATGATGATGACTATGACGACAATGAGGATGATGGTATGATAATGCTGATGATGGTTGGTAATGATGATGGTTGTGATGATGATGATGGTGGTGGTGATGATGATGATGGTGGTGGTGCCGTGAAGACGAAGACGAGAATGCTGCTGATGATGAGGATGCTGGTGGTAATGATGCTACTGATGATGATGGCAACGATGCTGCTGATGATGATGCTGCTGCAGCCGATGGTGATGCTGATGATGATGGTGATGAGGATGAGGACTCCTGTTGATGATGATGTTGATGATGCTGACGATGATGATGCTGATGATGATTATGACGATGAGGATGATGGATGATGGTGGTGATGATGATGATGACGGTTGATGATGATGATGATGATGATGGTGTTGATGATGATGATGATGATGATGATGATGATGATGATGATAGTGGTGGTGATGATGAGAGATGTGATTACGGTGATGATGGTGGTGGTCATGGTGATGACGATGGGGATGACGATGACGGGGATGATGCTGACAGTGATTTTGGTGGAGGTGGTGATGATAATCCTGATGATGATGACAAACACGATGCTAATGATGATGCTGCTGCAGCCGATGATGATACTGATGATACTGATCATGCTGATGATGATGGCATGATGATGCTGATGATGGTTGGTGATGGTGGTGGTGGTGGTGGTGATGATGATGATGGTGGTGTTTGTATCGTGATGATGATGACGATGACGACGACGATGACGCTGAGGGTGATTTTGATGATGAGGATGGTGGTGATGATGCTGCTGCTGATGATGACGATGCTGCTGATGATGAAGCTGCAGCTGACGATGATGATGAGGATGATTAGGATGATGCTGATGATGCTGATGAAGATGCCGATGCTGATGCTGATGCTGATGCTGATGATGGTGATGATGCTGCTGATGATGCTGTTGCTGATGATGCTGATGATGATTGATGGTGATGGTGGTGGTGATGCTGATGGTGATGATGGCTGCTGAGGCTGATCTTGCTGATTGATTGTGATGATGAGCGTGATTTTGCTTGGTGATGATGAGGATGCTGCTGATGATGCTGATGCTGTTGATCATGTTGATAGTGCCGATGGCAACGATGCTGCTGTCGCTGACTGTGATGATGCTGTTGATGATGCTGCTGATGGTGATGGTGAGGATAATGATGGTAATGATGATCATGGTGGTCATGATGAGGATTGCGATGACGCTGTCGCTGATTTTGATGACGCTGCCGATGACGATGTTGCTGATGATGTTGTTGGTGGAGTCGTTGATGATGATGATGATGATGATGATGATGATGATGATGATGAGCATGACGGCGGTGAAGTTGATGATGATTATGATCATGATGAGGATGATGATGAGTATGATGATGATGCTTATGGTTGTGATGTTGATTCTGCTCGTGATGATGGTGCTAATGATGATGATGCTAATTATGATGATGATGCTGATTATGATGATGATGCTGATGATGATGATGATGGTGCTGCTGCTGCTGATGATGATGATGATGATGATGGTGACGGTGATGGTGATTGTGGTGATACTCATGCTGAGTATGCTGCTGAGATGACGATGATGCTGATGGTGATGAGGATGATGCTGATGCTGATGCTGATGACGACGGTGATGCTAATGATAAGGATGATGCTGCTGATGATGATGCTGCTGATGATGCTGATGGTGATGATGATGCTGATGATGATGATGATAATGATGATAATGATGATGCTGATGCTGATGTTGATGCTGATTCTGATGATGGTGTTGATGCTGCTGATGATGCTGCTGATGATGCTGATGATTGATGATGACGGTGGTGGTGATGATGATGGTGATGATGGCTGCTGATGCTGATCTTGTTGATTGATTGTGATGATGAGCGTGGATTTGCTTGGTGATGATGGGGATGCTGCTGATGATGCTGATGCTGTTGATCATGTTGATGGTGCCGATGGCAACGATGCTGCTGTCGCTGACTGTGATGATGCTGTTGATGATGCTGGTGATGGTGATGGGGATGGTAAGGATAATGATGGTGATGATGATAATGGTGGTCATGATGATGATTGACGATAACGATGATGATGCTGCGGCTGATGTTGTTGTTGGTGGAGTCGTTGATGATGATGATCATGACGGCGGTGAAGGTGATTCTGATTTTGATGATGATGAGGATGATGATAATGATTATTATGGTTGTGATGTTGATGATGATGATGATGATGATGTGATGCTGATGATGATGATGATGATGGAGATGCTGGTAACGGTGATGGTGATGGTGGTGATGCTGATGCTGATTATGATGCTGATTTTAATGATGATGATGCTGCTGATGC